TATAAAAAAGCTAGTAAAATAGCAAATTCNTTTTGTTTTTCTACTTTTTTCCTCGTTTTGCAGGGGGTCTAGTGAAGTGGTAACAGCTAAAAACGCAAATGAACTGTACAAAGTAGTGAATCAAGCTCTAGCTGATGGAATAAGAATAAATGCATGTCGTGAAGGAGAGTGGAGCTTCGGTGAGTATGTGATATTGGGTACACATTTTCATAAGTTTGAAAAAGGTGATCTGAAAAAGATAATGCATGAACTAATGTTAAAAGGAGCAGAGTTTCACGATAGGCTATTGAAGAATAAACTGATAGGTGAAACTTATAATGAGCTGGAAAAAGAGGTTCAACCAAAAATAGACAAGCAGCTTGAAGAATTAAAAAAAGCTGGTGAAAATGCTGTTCGAGAAGGGGCTGTGATAGACGTGAGGATAGACAACGAAACATTTTTTATGGAATTGTCCAAGGATAGTAGAATAGAGGTTGCCAAATTAATAGAAGGCACAAGAAACTTAGGTCTAAACAAAGGATTGGTAAAATTAGGAAGTAACATTATAAAAGCGGGCAATAGTCACATTGAAGTAAAAAACGGAAAAGAAGGTACAAGAAATTATGTTGATATGTCTGATAATAGTTCTTTTGAAATAACATTTTATACAAGCATTGGTAATCTGAGAATTAAAATGTACCATGATAAAGAAGATCAAGTGCAGGTCAAAGCAATAGATCAAGAAATGTGGTCTGAATTACAAAAAAGAAATGAACCTATAGGGAAAGGTTGCCTATTTGGAGGAATGGCAGTTGAAGAAGTGCTAAGAATAGGAAGTTTCACAAGATGTGGAGTGTGGAATAAAGAGCAGGTCACAGAAGAAATAAAAGAGAGCAGTAAAAATGAGACATTGTCATGGGTGGACAGAACACGTGTGGATAGTAAAGAAACCTCTAGGCAACATTAATTTTTAGAGCAAAAGTAGTTGGACTGTTTTTTGTATAAATTGCAGTCCAAAACTTTTAGTTTCTTAAGTTATAGCAAAAAATCTTTTAACAGGGTATATATGTTTATTTCTGTGAAAAAGAGTGACTACTAATGATCCTAATTCTATAAGCTATAAAGTTAGGGAAGAAATAAGAAATTGTAGATTAAAGCTGGGATATACACAAAAAGATTTAGCGAGAAAAATCGGAGTGAAATACTGGCTGATACTTCAGTATGAAAAAGGAAATCGAAAAATTCCAATCAAGAAATTATATGCATTGGCAGAAGCATTATCAGTAAGTATTATAGATTTCATTCCTGAGCAAAGAGCATCAAAAAGATGTTTTGAAAATGAAGGAAAAGAAATATTAAATTTAGCAAGAAAATATAAAGAGGTTAAAGATCAAGAATTAAGCGAAATACTGTATTTATTAACTAAATTCATCCGTGTGAGTGAGGAAAAAAGTGGAAAAGCGGTGAAAATAGAAATAGCAAAGGGTTTGATTAAAGTGGGAGTATCGGTTGATGTTATCTCTCGAGCAACTAACTTATCTATAGGTGAATATGAAGAGAAAAAAAATCCCATTGATTCGATAACGTACAAAATAGGGCAAAGGGTAAAAGAGTGGAGGTTGAGAAGAGAATATACCCAAGTAGATTTAGCGAGCAAAGTTGGCATAGCAAGTCAAAGGATATATGAATATGAACAAGGTCG